CTAACCCTTCTTTAGAAATTGGCAACATTTGCGCAGGTTTAAAACCGGTGTATGTTATATCTCTGGTCTCTTTTATCTAAGGTTAAAATCAAACATACTAAAAATAAGATACCTCGATCTTTTACTATAACAGGAAGATTTTATGATATATGCAGAGAATATGCTAGTCTGCGGCCTCCTAATATTACAGAAAAGAGATTTTTCTTAAATTACAAAAATGGAAAATGCATGAAACCGGTAGTAGGAATTAACAAAATCGGAAGTATGGCTAAAGAAATAGCAACTTTTTTAAAACTACCAAACCCCTTAGGAATATACTGGCCATTGTTTTCGTCGATCATCGGCTACAATGTTAGTTAATGCAGGTGGCGATTTGCTAACCCTCAAACGCCATGGAGGATGGCGTTCTAGCACTGTCGCTGAGGGATACATAGACGATTCCGTACAGAATAAAATTGAAATTTACAAAAAAATTGTCGGATCAGTAAAATCTTCTGATCATAATTTAGAAGAGAGCACATCAGATAACCAGCTACATAAAATACATCCTCAGTATTCTGAGCCATTTTGTTCAAACGAAAAAAACATAACTATAACTGAAAATGTGTTGAAAGGACAGGACAATAAATTTTAAAAATTGTTCTAACATAACAGTAAATTACAATTTCAAATAAAACAGCAGGGAAGACCATTAATAAGCGAATAAAAATTGTTTTTTCATTGTTGTTATTGTTCATTGTTGTTATTATTCATTGTTGTAAATATATGTATGTATAACTGTATGGTTATAAATAAAATATAAATCAGTTCTGGTCGTTTGAAATAAGATTTGCTTTACTAACAATAATACCATTAAAAATATATGATAATAAAGTGACAGCCGTAGGAAAAGTATAGTGTGTAACTCTTGTGAATTAGCACTTTTCACACTTTGTGACACATGCGTGTGAAAAGTGCTATTTTCAACACTTGTTGCACAATATACTATTGCCTACCTTTTAAACCATACGTACGTGTGAAAGGAAGAAGGATGGCACTGTATAAACCATTTGTATAGATGGTCAATAATAATTGTAAACTCTTGTTAGACAATTCTTTTAAACCATACTTATAATAGTTTTTTTGTCGTTTCTATGGCAACCTGTAAAAATGAATAACAACAATATGCATACAAATAAATTTTTAAATCAGCAAAAATTGATTCATATTTCTAATGATTTTTACCTACTAATTGTAGATAGATGTTTTTGTGCGATGTTAATAGGACAACAAAATATTTCCATTTATCGATATATATCAAGATATATTTAAATATGTTTTCCTACGACCACTTATGAAAGTGACACATATCACACTATAAAGTCCTATGGAAAGTGCCCTATATCACACGCGTATGAATAAGAATTTACTTTCCACCCGAGTGAGAATATGTTACTTTCCGCAGTAGTTGTTACAAAATGTCAAACACCTAATTTCTATTTTGATCTTTGTAATGTCCATATTAATACTAAAATCGACATGATTGTTAAATTATTGAAATTGTGATAAATTAGACCCTAGATATTTATCTTCAACAATTATTATTAAAATAATTTTAAAATAACTAAGATTATGTTTGCTTTTTATTCTTGTTGAACATATAACCGATTAGATCACTCTATTGACGAAAGGCCTGTTAGCTCAGTTGGTTAGAGCATCAAACTATCAAATTTGCCATTTGAGAGACCTGGCGAACGACCGCGTTCGAATCCTGGCGGGGCCAGAACTTTTTTTGTTTTATTTTTTTTGTTTTTTAATTTTTTTTTGTTTAAAAATATGAAAATTGAATAAATACGATTGTTGTTGATTATTTTTTTAAATACATTTTAATTGTTATAATAACCTGGTTTTACATTTTTTGATGAAAATATTTTGTGGTCGTAGGAAAAATATTGTAAATCACTTGTGTGAAAAGTGATTTTCCACACTCGTGTGATAGTCGCACTCGACTTGTGCCTCGTGCGACAATATTTCCCACTCGTGTGAAAAATGTCACTTTCCACACTCGTAATGTAATATACTATATTTTCTGGAAACCTTTAATTAGCGCTGTCATGCCTTATTTGTTTTTTTTTTAATATAAAATAATTTTTTTAACCACTTTGCTCAGGATTAGAATTGGCACAGGTGCCATTTGGTAAAGAACAATGCTTTTAGATGTTTTTGAAGTATATTTCATTTCATTATCAGATGACGGTAAAAATTTGCAGTGGGCCCTTGAGCTATTATGATTTAATTCTGTATGCGCCAGGAATACAAATCCGAGTTGCGCGATGTATAAACAAGAACATTGAGATCAAAAGTGCCGACGCAGAGTGAGCGAACTGATTCTTTAGCTATCACATAAATCAAAGTATGTGTTAGCTATAAACTGTGACAGTGACAAGTAAAATGCTTGGATACCGCATGCGAGATAAGGTTGTCGAATTTTCAAGACCGTTCCCTTATACTGGGATCGTTCGTTGTAGTGATGCGACATCGATACGAAACATCGATGTTGGCCATCGATGTTAACATCGAAAGCCAACATCGATGGTATGAAAATATCGACTACAAAACATCGATGTTTGTCAAACATCGATGTTCGATGTTGGTAATTGAAAAATATTAAAACAGCGAATGTAAATTTAAAAAATCAAGGAAAATTTATTTATTAATCATAAACTATGAACATGTTTAAAGCTTACATACTAAAAGTTATTTAATTTTAATAAAAAAATTAAAAAACTTAAATATTTTACCAATAAACCAATAAACATCTATGGACTGCATAAATAAAATTTTGTTTAATTTCTTGCCAGAAATCCTATTTCTGCGGTCCGTAATCGTCTGTCCAGCCTTAGAAAACAACCTTTCTGCAGGAACAGACGTAGCCACTGTCGATAAATATTTATTAGCGATTTGTGATAGTTTTGGATAAGTGTTCTTGTGAGTTTTTCACCACTCCAATGGGTTTGTATTTAATGACATCAATGGTGATCGCAAATAGAGAGTCATTTCGCTTAAATGCACATCATACTCCATTGCTGTTTGTGCCACCAATCTTTCATGGTGGGCCCACAGATTAATACTCATTTCGGAGTCTATAGCAAACAAAAATATAGTATATTACATTACGAGTGTGGAAAATCACTTTTCACACAAGTGATGTACAATATTTTTCCTACGACCACAAAATAATTTCATCAAAAAATGTAAAACCAGATTATTATAATAATTAAAATGTATTTAAAAAAATAATCAACAATAATCGTATTTATTAAATTTTCATAATTTCTAAACAAATAAAAAAAAAAAAATTAAAAAAAAATTCTGGCACAGCCAGGATTCGATCGCGGTCGTTGGACGGTCTCAAATTGCAAAGTTGATGCTCTAACCAACTGAGCTAACAGGCCTTACGGTAATTGATTGATCTAATCGCTTATGTGTTTAACCAGAATAAAAAGCAAATATATCTTAGTTATTTTAAAATTATTTTAAAAATAATTGTTAAAGATAAATATCTAGGATCTAATTTACAATAATTTAACAATCATATCGATTTTAGTATTAATATGGACATTACATAGATCAAAATAGAAATTATGTGTTTGACATTTTCTGACAGCTACTGCGGAAAGTAGCATATTCTCACTTGGGTGGAAAGTAAATTCTTATTCATACGCGTGTGATATAGGGCACTTTCCATAGGTCTATATAGTGTGATATGTGTCACTTTTCTAAGTGGTCGTAGGAAATAGTATATTACATTACGAGTGTGGAAAATCACTTTTCACACAAGTGATGTACAATATTTTTCCTACGACCACAAAATAATTTCATCAAAAAATGTAAAACCAGATTATTATAATAATTAAAATGTATTTAAAAAAAATAATCAACAATAATCGTATTTATTAAATTTTCATAATTTCTAAACAAATAAAAAAAAATAAAAAAAAAAATAAAAAAAAAATTCTGGCACAGCCAGGATTCGATCGCGGTCGTTGGACGGTCTCAAATTGCAAAGTTGATGCTCTAACCAACTGAGCTAACAGGCCTTACGGTAATTGATTGATCTAATCGCTTATGTGTTTAACCAGAATAAAAAGCAAATATATCTTAGTTATTTTAAAATTATTTTAAAAATAATTGTTAAAGATAAATATCTAGGATCTAATTTACAATAATTTAACAATCATATCGATTTTAGTATTAATATGGACATTACATAGATCAAAATAGAAATTATGTGTTTGACATTTTCTGACAGCTACTGCGGAAAGTAGCATATTCTCACTTGGGTGGAAAGTAAATTCTTATTCATACGCGTGTGATATAGGGCACTTTCCATAGGTCTATATAGTGTGATATGTGTCACTTTCCTAAGTGGTCGTAGGAAAAATAATTTTTTATTTATTAGGAAAAAACAAAAATTTGTATTTACCGCTTGTACTAGTGGTAGGTTCACCCATTCTTGCTTGTAACTGCAGATCAAATGTAATATCGGATATCTCTGCATTAATGAACTCGATAGCTTTTGCGCAGCATCTTGGGTCTCGGAAATAAATTTTTTTAAACCTTGGGTCTAACACAGTAGCCATTGCTAGGATATGAACTTCTTCAGCTGAGCCAAAACGCTTATCTATTTCTTTTAGTAATGCAGTTTTTAAAGCTCTTGCAATACTCAATCCTTCCATATTAGCCGTAGTTTTGATAGCTTTATTGATATTTTCTTTTAAATTGTAAATTACTGGAATAACGGTACTAGAAGTAATGAATTTTTGGCCAGAAATTTAATTTGTGGCTAATAATAATGGATGTAATATATGTTTGATCCACTCTAATTCTTTGACCGCTGTGACCATTGAAGGAGCAGAAATATGCTTATTCAGTATAATATTTATGTTATCCTTTAACTCTAAAAACCTTTCTATCATATATGTAGAATTCCACCTCGTCGGCACCTCCTGCTTAAGTTTTTAAAATTCATTTTCTTCCTTTTGAGCTTTACGAAGCTCATCGCTAGCATGCACACTTTGCTCAAAGAATGTAACAATGCTTTTTATTTTGCTAATTAAGATTTCCAGTTCTTCTACAGATTTTATTGACTTTTCTGCAACTAAATTTAACTGATGAGCAAAGCAGTGTAAATGCTTCTTTTTGCCAAATGCAATGTCTATGGCCTTGCACATATTTGCAGCCCCATCTGTTACTACAGCTGAAACACGTTCAGATGAAATTCTCCATTGTTGACAAACATTGTTTAAAGCTTCTGCAATATATTCTCCGGTATGACGTTCCTCTAACTCTACAATTACTATGGTTGCTGTGTAGAGCTTAATGTCTTCGCAAAAATGAAGAGTTACACCTAGAAAGCTTTTAGTGTTTCTGGTCTCTGTCCAAATATCGGTTGTGAGGGAGTAATAATTCAAAAGTGCAATTTTGTCTCTATATAGGGTACTTGTAGCTTCATATTTTTTTTCTAGTAGATTGTCTATTGTTTTTCTCGAAGGAATTTTATATTCGTGAGCGGTGGTTCTCATAAGTTTTTGAAATCCAGTGTCTTCTACAAATGACATTGGTTGGTAATCACAACAAATCATATATAATATATTATTTGTAATTTTATTATATTTATTTCCTCCCTCTCTATAAGACGAGAAATTCGCAAAAGTTTCCTTTACTGTGCACTGTCGCTTAAAACTCTGCAATTTCGCTTTTCTTTTACTTCCTTCTTTACTCATTTCACTGCATATTAAATTAGTATTTTCATCAGGATCGATTTCAAGATTATCAGTTGTACTTGAGGTTGAGGCTAAAGAGCAAAAACTAGATCTAGATACTACACTGCTACTATCAGCAGTAACAGCAGATTCACTGTCACTTTGACGGCTTTGTTGATCGCCAACATCCTGAGGAGGAGATTGCACTTTAAATAATTCTTGATTATGTATAGATTTAATGTGACATCTTAGATTTGACGTGTTTCCACAAGTCTTAATTTTCTTATTACACAAATTACAAATGGAGTATTCCTTATTTGTTTTATCAAAATATTTCCATACGTTACTTTTCGGAGGCATCTTACCTTCTGTACTCACTAAAATCATAATAAAAAATTACTTGCTAGCTATAAATTTTCATACCTTTAGTTTAACATACCAGATACCTACACCTATTATTAAGTCTTAAATGAAACAACTAAATAATAAATAATAGGCATGTAAGACAAATAATTTTTAAAAACACAGTATTGTTCTGCTTCTTCTTCTTTCTTTTTGTTTGGGTTTAGCTTCCGCAGTATTTAATGTACACTTTTGCGTTCGAATATACAGCCACTAATTATTATTCTTCTTTTTCATTGCCTACTTACGGCCTACCACTACCCAATGCATAACATTCTTCATTTTTTTTAAAGAATATATAAAATCAACCCAACCCAGTTTTCGATGTACGAATTTCGTTCGATGTTTTAAGAAAAACATCGATGGTAACATCGATATCTGGTGCTATTAACATCGATGGCAAAACATCGACCATCGAATACAAAACATCGATGTTTTCAAAACATCGATGAACATCGCACATCACTAGTTCGTTGTAAATCATTCGCCAAGCGTTGCATGCGGGATCACTCGCATACGGCAAAGGCTTGCAAGAATACCATTTTTCTACTCGCATACGTAACCGCATGCGAACGCCGTCAGGAATTAGGCCCTAGTTAGAGTTTAAAACAAGAAACAAAACTCTATGATAGAGTTAAAATGTCCATATGGAGCTAGAGTACTGACTGTAGAAGAAGAAAATGCAGTAGAGAAATAACTTTTTGGGAAAAGAACAATATCATTAAAGAGAACCACAATTATTATGTTCAAATTCAGGGCTAGCTGCACACTACACAAATGGAGTTTTGTATTTTTGGCGTTTGGACTCCTCGAGGAATAAAAGTGGAGAAAATTCCTCATAATAACAGCTTTTGGGAAGAAAAAATGCAAAATAAAATTAAAAATATTTTGACTAGTAGAAATAATAATATCAAAATTCAGAGTTTTGTGCCAAAACCAAGCCAAGCCATGTATTGATATTATAAAACGCAGATGAGTAACTATCACATCAATTGAAATTGAAAATTCACATGTACATTTTTGTAACGTAATTATTTATAACTTTAATAACTTCATACGATCAAATATTTTTGGCAAACTTATTTAATTCTTAATATAAATGAACTTCATTTTAAAAGTTCATTATATTGTTTAGTCGTTGCAACTTTACTGCATTAAAGAACCGTTCAGATTAAAATATGAATTGATTTATGGAGCTTAACTGAAAAACAGGATCTAATGCTTTTATTCCAAAGAAAAAGTATTATGGTCAATAAAAAAAATCTTTAAGCCCTTATTTAATACCTTTAAATATTAACAAGAGTTATCTTTACAAATTGTTACATATACCGAATATAAGTTTGTTGAAATATACAATATTTTCATAATACAAATAAATATGCTGTGTTATAGAATGGTCATATTTTATTTAATATATTCATTTAAACTTACTTTTCTTTTTTGTCTAGATGATATTGAATACTAACTTTTTCTATATAACTTCCTTAACCCGACATTGCGAAATAAAAAAAACTTATTACCTATCACTTTTTTCTTTTAATTTATTTGTAGTTTTTGCCCAAATGGATAAATTTTTTGAACTGTGCAACTTACAACTCGGCTGCTGATAGCCAGTGTAACAATACGGATTTTAATAAATGTTTTCCAGATGCTGTACCTAAGTGGTTTATTATAACAAATTATTTAAACAACAAAAATAATTTTTGTTAAAATATAAATAATAATATGCTCAAATAGTATTTCTAATCCTTACATATTATAAAACCAAAGTACCTTTTCTAAATCTACTAAATCTACTAACAAATTAGAAATTGCCGTTACATTAAACACATTTTTTACAAACATTGGACCCGATCTTGCTAAAAATATTCAAAAACCTCCAATTTTTCATTTAAAGAGACGTATTAATAAAAATTCAATTTTTATGAAACCAGCCACTGAAACAGAAATAATTAAATTAATAAATGCATTAAAAAATAATAAGGCTCCCGGTATTGACGAAATAAAATCAGAATTACTTAAAGAAACTAGAACTGAATTAGCTAAACCATTATGTTTTCTAATTAACAAGTTAATTTCAGACGGAATTTGCCCAACTGAATTCAAGGTCGCCATCATAAAGCCTCTTCACAAAAAAGGTGATAAAAGTCTGCCTTCAAACTATAGACCAATTTCACTACTAAGTAGCTTTGCAAACCTATTTGAAAAAATTATAAAAGTTAGGCTTGAATCATTTTTAATTAGCGAAAAAATTTTGTCACCCAACCAGTTTGGTTTTCAGACGGGAAAATCAACAGAAGATGCTATATCTGCATTAATATCAAAAATGTATGATGCTGTTGAACATACGAAACCGGCAATTGGAGTATTCTTGGATCTTGCAAAGGCGTTCGATACTGTAGATCACAGTCAGTTATTGGATGCATTGGAGGATTCAGGAATACGTGGAGCAGCTCTAAAAATGTTTAAATCTTATCTTCAAAATCGTACACAACATGTAAAAATAGATGATTGCATAAGCTCAGCGCAAGTTGTGAAATGTGGAGTTCCGCAAGGGACAGTGCTAGGGCCGATTCTTTTTATCCTATATTTGAATAACTTACTTACCTTAAGCGTTACTGGAACCATATACAGTTTTGCCGATGATACGGTACTATTTTACACTGCTGAGACTTGGTCTGATCTGAAACAGAAAATAGAAGACGATATAAAAACTATTATTGATTGGTTTAATTTTCATCTTTTAACAATTAATTATGAGAAAACGATGTTTCTACCTGTTTGCAGTTACAAAAATGGAATGCCTACCTACAATGAATTAAAAATATATAATGAACATACCAAAAAAACCATAAAAATTAAACTTACTAAAGATATAAAATATCTTGGTATAACGATAGATTGTCACTTACGATGGGATTACCATATAAATAACGTCACTAAAACATTAAGATCCTTTCTGGGACGATTTAAATATTTGTCGAATGTTCTAGATTTACCATATTTAAAAATGTTATACTATTCACTTGTAGCATCTAGATTATCATATGGAATTTTGGCTTGGGGCGGAACTGTAGATGTATACCTAGAAAAATTACAAACGCTTCAGAAATATTTTTTAAAAATAATATTAGGAAAAGAAAAAACTTACCCTTCTGACCAGCTTTTTCGAGACGCATTAGTGTTGGATATTCGTCAGACATTTTTTCTTAAAACTCTAATTTTTTTATTTAAACACAAACAAAATTTTAATGAAATATCTCATCTCTATACTACCAGAGCTAAGAAAAATAATTATCTTCAAGTTCCAACTACACAAAAAACAATTGGCCAAAGAAACTTTAAGTTTTTAGCACCCCGTTTTTATAATTTTTTACCAGAACATTGTAAAAATTCGTACACGTCAAACCATTTTAAGAAATCAGTTAAGTTTTTTCTAACATCTAATAATAGACAATTAATTTCCCACTTTTTTCAATTTGTTAACTAATATGTTATTTTCCTATTGTATTATTTCCCTATTATGTTATTTTACTATTATGTTATTTTACTATTATGTTATTTTACTATTATGTTATTTTACATTATTTATCAAATTGTTGATTTCATATTTATTATTTATATTATTGTATTCTATTATATAGCAAATAAGTTGAAAAAATAATATTACTGTTAATTTGTGTGATAACAATATAAATATAAGTTTTAAAGTATCTTGAATCATAAATAATATTAAGACAATACACAGTAATAATTACTACGTTCTAACTTATACCACGGACAGCCCTCCGGCTTTGTGGTACACCAGTTTATTGGTAGGTGATTGTACTGTAAAGAAACAAAAAATATAAATTTAAAATTTATTGTAAAAATTACTGTTCTTACTAATAATAGTACATTATATACCTAGGGTGAGAAGTGAGCTATTATTTACCGAGCACTAATGTGCGAGGTAAATAATAGCTTTCTCAGCCGAGGTATATATAGAATTTTTTTTACTACTAACATTAATATATTAGCAATTTTAATTTTGACATAAGTAATTTCCTAACAATTTGTTAAATATTTCGAAATATCAAGCAGACTGGAGCGTGGTTCTAATCAGACTGGCTTTATTTATGTAAAAATTTGGCATGTGTCAAATTTTGGTATGTTTCTAGGAAATATCCCATTCCATTTTTGATATTTTAATGACATGGATTTATTGGTATTAATTAATAATTTTTGAAGCCGGTGTTGAATTTCCTAGTTAATATATATTTTTACTGTTTACACTGATATATATTATCATATTTGATTTGATTAGATTTGATAAACCCAGCTTTAGTTATTTCCTACTTATTTTTTAAATATTTCAAAATATCAAGTAGTCTGGGAGTTTAGTTGTCAAATTAACAAAATGAAACTAATGAAATTTAGTTTCATTATTTACCTAGGTTTTTTTTTATTATCATTATTTACCTAGGGTGAGAAATATTACTTCTCATTAGAGGAATGGAGTAAATAATGGTGCTTTCTCATGTTAGTAGTAAAAAAACATTATTATTATTATTATTTAACTAACTCACTCATGGGTACCCCAAGTTTGAATATTATAAATCCGCTTGAATATAAAAAAGAGGTATAGAATAGTATATTACATTACGAGTGTGGAAAATAACTTTTCACACAAGTGATGTACAGGGTGATTCTTTTATCATGGGAAATGAGTTTTTCTCGTAAATGGCTGCAGCAAATTGGGTTCTGTAAAAAGTATTTTATTTGGGCTGGTTATTGCTTGAAATTGGGATGGATAAGGAAGTTATAAATAAACGACGCTGGGCGTCGCGACGCTTTAAATTTTTTTTTGTCAGAAGCATACCATTTTTATTTCAGAAATTGAAAGATCTATTCAATAAAAACACTTTTTTTAAATACTATTTTTTTCCATCTAAAACCATTCAAAAATTACAGACCAGTTTTTATGTTCCAAATTTCTAGATTGC